ACTCAGTGACTAACGGACTGACCGACTGCGATTGGCCAACTGATGACAGGTTGACTGAGTGACTAACGGATTGACTCAGTGACTAACGGATTGACAGAGTGACTAACCGACTGACTGATGGGCTGACTGTCTGACTGGCTGACAGACTGACTGACTTTGATGGCGGACTGATAACTGGCTGACTGAGTGACTAACGGACTGACTGATTGACTGACCGACTGACTGGCTTAGTGGCTGGCTGACTGACTAACGGATTGATTGATTGACTAATGGACAGACTGACCCTGACAGACGGACTGATGACTGATTGACACTGGTGGACCAACCCGCTGAGTGCCCAAACACTGCACTCAGGTCAGATCGAGATGAACAGCCAGGTTTGGATGAAGAAGACCCATTTCCCATTACCCAGTTACTCTGCACGTAAACGAGCTTACCGTCTTTCCCCATCATCATGAACGTATACAAAATTACAAATCCTATTCCGGTCCGCATACAGTCATGATGCTGGGGCATTGTTTTCGGGGAAAGATGGTAGTACACCAAACTGCACGCAAGTCACTATATGACTGGCCGGTTTATCGTCAGCAAATAGTCTGCTCTGCAGTCTGCAGTTGGTATTATAGTCTAAAACTTAGTTTGCAATTGCTATGCAGCTAGTCTGCAGTCCGAAGCTATAGTCTAAATTTAGTTTGCAATTACTTTGCAGTTAGCCTCTGCAGTTAGTCTAAATTTAGTTTGCTATTGCTTTGCAGATAGTCTGGCTAATCTGAAGTCTGCAGCTATAGTCTAAATTTAGTTTGCCATTACTTTGCAGATGGCCTATGCAGTTAGTCTATATTTAGTTTGCCCTTACTTTGCAGAACGAACATACCCGGGAACAGGGTGGGCCGGCCAAATTATAGGTATGCCCACGTACCCAATGGCAGAAATTACTCCCGTACCCAGCAGCTGTTCAGTCACAATTCCATTGAGCCACACTGCTCGTCCCCTCGAGCACACACACACATTGAGAGATCACACGAAATCCACACTGGCAACCAGAGGGCCAAAGTCCAGATTAGCAAAGCTTAGAAATTCCAACGAACTACCATATTAATTTTGAAACAGTTTCAGAGTTCCGGTCACCAAGCGCTCAACAGCACAGAGTTCAGCAACCCAAATCCAGCATCGTCATCTAGGTAGGTAAGTTCCTCTCCCCTTTCCTTGCTCTCTCTCTCTCTCTCTCTCTCTCTCTCTCTCTCTCTCTCTCTCTCTCTCTCTCTCTCTCTCTCTCTCTCTCT